ATTTTGTTGATTTTTCAAAATTTTTTTTTATTTTACTGGCAAGTATATTCGACAGCAAATTGCTGTCGAATATGGTATTAAAAAAAAAACATATTCAACAACTAATAGTTGTCGAATATAATTTCAAAAAAATAAAAAACATATTCGACAGCCAATGGTTGTCGATTAAACAGGTTTAATCGACAGCCAATGGCTGTCGAATATAGGCTGCTACAATTATAAATCTGGCTACGAAATTCTGTCGATAATAATTATATTCGACAGTAAGTATCTGTCGATTACACCTGTATATTTGACAGAAAACATTTCTGTCGAATATATAGGTTATCGACTACATTTTATACGACATCTTTTTTTATTGAATATGTCTGTCGATTAAAGTATAATCGACAGAAATGTCTGTATATTCGACAAAAAATTCTGTCGAATATATTGCGTTTTCCAGTACTGGAAGATTATCAAACCATAGCAAAAACATTGCTATGAGATATAATCTTAGGAGAAGAATCATGAAAAATGACAAGGTAGAATACCCACTTACTAAACAAATTATGTTGGTTAACCCTATAATAAAACCTTTAAATTAAAAAAGGTTGAATAAAATTTGGAGAGATATGGGACCATTGCAGGCAAGGGAGAGTGATCATGCCTGAAACTAATTTCATCACTTTGATGTTGATATAAAGACTTTTTTTTAATCAACAATTGGATGGATAGAAGTTCAATGTCAATTCAATAATGAATTATTCGTGAAATGTAAGCATGAGGTGCTGTATTTCCTATGCATTTCATTATTCAAGGAATATGTTACATCAATTGATTATAAAAGACTTGTAAAAACAAGATTAATGCATGACCATTTGTAAATGCACTTGTTATGGTGAAACTTTGAATCTATGTATAATGTAAATATGGTTTCTTAATATTTCATATTCAATCTGGAGTTTCAAACTTTGACCACCTTTAAACATAAATTATACATTGTCAATATACTTAAACATTATTATTAGAAAATAAGTGAAGAATTATTGTATATATTAAAAATATATACTATATTTTCTAATACTAATATACATATACTATATATATATACATACTTTGTTATAATAATATTAAATATCTCTATATATTATAATTCAAGTAGGTTGTTAGAGTTTTTTTTTTGGTATCACGTAGGTTGTTAGAGTAACTATGGGAATGGTAGTTGAACGAAAGGCAAGTCTTAAAACAAAACGCTTGGAGGAAGAGTATAAGAGCGGACAAACAATGTTATCTAAATAACCACTCGTGGGCTGTAATTACCTGGTACAAAACCAGAATAATTGCAATTCTTGCTGAAGAATTGCATCCCTATGAATTGGTGCAAAATGACACCTACTGAGTCATATAAATTAAAAGACACCCACAGAGTAAAAAAGTTTATATACAGAAAATCCTTCCATTTCGTTTTCAGATTTTTGCCTCTCAATAAATATACTGATTTTGAGTGATTAAATTTATTTTAGTAGGCATTGTATTTTGAGAATAACTTTGTCTATAGGAGACAAAAATTGTTACCCTTGAGATGAGTTTTTGGAATTGTCTTAACTATACTAATTTATCTACATCTAACTCTCTGTTTACACCTATATACAACATAACTTTCCATTATACAAATATGCAAAAGAAATTTAGGCCTAAATACTTAAAAATTTTGGTTTACACAATATATGAAATACTCTTTCTCATCCCTTAATTCATTTTACTGTATGTTATATATATATATATATATGTATATATGACTCAAATCCTGAATCTTTTTCTCTACTTAGAGGGTAATTGGTTGGGAATGAAAGGATCTTGTGATAACTTGCCGATGGTGTAGTCTGTCAGTTATTCTGCATACATCCACGTTGGCTCTCTGCTTCAACAAACTGAAAAAAATAAATAAATAAATAAAAAGTTGTTCCACTCTTCTAACCAACTACCTGTCTTTGTTTTTCTCACCAGATTCACAGGAATCATAGGACCCAAACCTACCCATTTTATGTCCTCTTTTTATACCCTGGAATATACAAAGGAAAAGTTCATTTAAGGGTTTTTGGTTCCCTGTCTTTACTTCGTTTTCCGATTGATCTAAGAATTATGAAAGACTATAATGCTGCCTCCAGGCACATTGCGGTGCTTGCCTTTCCCATGGGCACGCACGCCGCGCCTCTTCTCAGCTTCATCCGGCAGATATCAACGGCTGCACCAGACCTAACCTTTTCCTTCTTCAGCACGGCAGAGTCTAATGCATCCACGTTTCGGACGGACAGTACGCTTGACAAAATAAAGACATACGATGTGTGGAATGGGTTACCAAAAGGATATGTGTTTAAGGGGAACCATGCGGAACCCGCGGAGTATTTTGTGAAGGCTTTACCGGGGAATTTTAGGGAGGCCATGGATAAGGTCACGGCGGAGACGGGGAAGCGCTTTGACTGTTTAGTGACGGATGCGTTTTATTGGTTTGGTGCTGATATGGCGGCGGAAATGCAGATACCGTGGGTGCCGCTTTGGACGTCTGGACCTCGAGCTCTCCTCATCCATGTTGAAACGGACAAAATCAGACGACACCTTGGAATCGAAGGTAATAAATGAGGTATTTGATTTATAACAATTTGGATTTTTTTTTTAGCACCAATTTGTGAATATATGATCACTGTAGGTGATCCAGAAAAAACTCTGGATTTTCTACCGGATTTCTCCATGATACGGGCTTCTGACCTACCGGATGGAGTAGTTCTTCGGAACGTTCATTCCCCTTTTGCGGAAATGCTCCATAAAATGGGATTAGCGCTGCCACGAGCCACCGCCGTGGCCGCGAATTCGTTCGAAGAATTAGATCCTATCATCACAAACATGCTCAAATCTAGATTTCGAAAATTCCTCAATATCGGTCCATTCTGCCGAACGCTGCCACCCCCATTCTCCGACTCCCATGGCTGCATAGAGTGGCTACACAAGCAGGAACCAGCCTCAGTCGCCTACATCAGCTTCGGAAGCGTGGTAATACCGCCACCACACGAGCTAGCAGCGCTAGCGGAAGCGCTGGAGGACGTAGGATCACCATATCTGTGGTCATTTCGGGGCGACCCAGAAAAACTTCTGCCAAAGGAATTCGTAGAGAGGAGTAAGGAGAGAGGGAAGATAGTGCCATGGGCGCCACAGCTGAAAGTGTTGGAGCATCCTTCAGTTGGGGTTTTCATAACGCATTGTGGATGGAACTCAGTGTTGGAAAGCATGGTCGGCGGGGTGCCTCTGATTGTACGTCCATTCTTCGGAGAGCAGAATCTGAATAATCGGTTTGTGGAGGCAGTGTGGGGGATGGGTTTGGGAGTGGAGGGTGGAATTTTGACTAAAGATGCAATGGTGAAAGCCTTGAAGTTAATACTGTCCACTGAGGAAGGGGAGAAGATGCGCAAGAAAATTGGGGTACACAAAGAACTCGCTCTCAAGGCTGTGGAACCCAACGGTAGCACCACTAAAAATTTCGAAAATCTGGTAAAGATTATCAGCAATCACTAATGGGGTTGAGTGCATATTTCAAAATTTACATTTGAAAAGGATTGTGTGCTTGTTATATTAATATTCAATGGCAGGATTTTTTTTTTTTTTTTGTTTGTGGTTGTTGAATTCAGGTGTGAATGTGATTGTACCTTTGTGAGATATGATGAGAATAATGAGTTAATGTAATTGAGTACTTGCATATAGATGTTATCTGTGAAATCGATATTGGACAGTCCTGTGTACTTTGGACACATTTTCTCCCCAAATAAGTTCTTTTAGGGCACTTTTGAACTACCAGAGACAGCATGGGATAGGACAAAATTTATGTGCGGTCCTAATGTGTCCTGTGTTTGGTAGGATGAAAGGATGAGATACAATACAACACACATTTTATCCAATCCTTACCTCCTTGGACAGAAGTTACCCACCAATCATTTTCCCATAGGATTTGGTGGGATTAGGTGGGATAACATTAGATTTTTTTTTTGTAACCTTCCTTTCTCTACCCTATGATTCTCTATTTTGAAAGGACACTAATTCTGACATTTCTCTGTTCATCCCATTGACTCTGGCATTGGTTTGCGCGTCCTACCAACTTCAATCTCCTTCATTCAAGTCTTTGATCATTTATTTCTTCATCTACCACCATAAGTCTTGATTCTCGTAAGTCTCCTGTTATCCCTTTCATCATCTTCCATCATCGATATCTCTCATTTTCATTAACCTCAAATCTTGTCCATTTTCTTTAGTCTCGGATCATCCCACTCCATTTCTTTTCCTCCTAAAATCAAAAGACCCAAATGTATCCCCTCATCTCTCTTACCTGACGAACACTCCAATCTTGATTTCTTTATCAATTGTTGCCTATTGCGCCCTATCCTTATACGTTTTGGTATGTCTCCAATATTTACTTTCTCTTTTTCCACTGCTGAGAGCAGTCCTGCTTCTCAAACCAAATTGGTGTTAATATACTATTTGAATTTGGGAAAGGAACTCTAATTTTCTTTGGGAAAGAAGAAAAAGGAAACTACTGGAGAGGAAAAGAAAATGGAGGTACATGTGTATTGGTGTGTATTGTTTGCCGTTCTGTGTGTTTGGGGGTTGTTTGGGTTTTGGGGAAATTGTTGGGAACGTTTTGGAAACGGCGAGCAAAGTTTGAAACAATTTTTCAATACTTTTTTCTTGCGCTTTTCGAGGAAAAAAGAAGAAGGCCGTTTTTCCCTTTTTTTTATTGGGAATTTGATTTTTTTTCTTAGGAATTTTATTTTTATTTTTGGGGTTTTTTTTTTTATTCCGGCAATTTTTTTTTTCCATTTATTTTTTTTTTTTTCCATTATTCATTTAACCTTTTCTTTAATTTTCATCTTTCTTCTTTTTTTTTGTTTCATTCCATTTTTTTCTTTGAATTCTTTTCTTTTCCATTTCATTTGAAAAGGCATTGAAAAGGCATCAAGGAATAGGAATGCGTGTTCCTAATTGAAGAGGCATGATACTTGATTAAATCAGATGAATGCGTGTTCCTAATTATTGCACATCCATAAAGACAGTCTATTTGGGTTCCTCCTGTGGTGTATAAATTAAGACATGACCAATCCATTGCTTCTGTATCACTGCCTTTTACTTTTATAATACAAGAGATTTCTTCTTCATCATGGGATTTTTTGGTAAACTTGTCCGAGGAGCCAAATTAGTAGGCAACAAACTTCTGAAAGGCATCAAAGCATGGGGCAAGTTGCTAGCAAACCTATGGCAGTGGCTTCTAAGGTCTTTGCAGCGATACTTTTTGCTCCTAAAAGTACTGATCTGGATTTTTTATTTGTTTACATGGCCAGGAGGCGGAAGGCCGAACTGGGGTTAGAAGTTAGAACCTTCAACCCGAAACTACTACTGAGGGGAAAGCAAGTGTACTTTGTCACCTGCTCTACTACCCCTGATGAGTATATATATTAATATGGGTGATGAGATGACCCACATAAGAATACATGTCCTCTGCGGTTTACATTACGTAAAAGTGCTTCAAGGATTCAATAATAAACAAAAACGCTTTGGCACTTCTTGATCAATCGAAAATGTTGGCAAGAAATTATATTCTTTTTTGTTTACTACAATCTCAAAACCAGTTTTTTACTATAATCTCAATACCGTATATGTCTCCATACTTCTTCTATCAAGCAATCATAAATTTTGAATGTAAATTATAGTTTTGATACCGAATATAAATTATAGTTTAAATAAC